CCCCTCCCCTCCCCTCCCCTCCCCTCCCCTCCTTTTCTCTTCTTCCTTCTCCACCCACAGTCCCCTCCTCTCCTCTCCTCTTCAGAGCTCCCTGCGCTGGGCGCAGCGCCTTTGTTCCTGCCCTCCTGGACTGCACCTCGCCCAGCGGCACGCGGAGGACACCCTGGCACAGGTCCCTCAACCAGTTCTCGCGTCCGTGCGGCCCGCGGTCTCTTGGGGACGCCGCTGCGGCCCGGGGCTGGTTTATAGCGTGGACGGACCCCAGAGGCCGGAGGCCAGCCTGGGAGATTGGCGGTGCATCAGTGCCTTCCCTCCCTCGTGTGGTATACTCTGGAGAACGCTCCCTGGTCACTTGCCATGGCTTGCTCACAGCAGCAAGGCAGAGAAGAGGGGACAATGACCTCTGAACGGCCAGCCCGCTTCGCCTGCCATCGCCAGGACCTGGGCTGCCACTGCCGCTCACTGCGGCTCCTCAGACCAGCTCAGGTTACCGAGAACCTCCAGGAAAGGCCTCAGTTCAGCAAGGACTGCGGGAAAGACAGCTGCTCTGTCCCAATTGCAGGACTGAAGTGTGGCCTTCTCGCTCCACCTTAAGTCTGCCAAAAAGGACGTTCCCCCAAATTCTCTCCATTGACCAGGGCCTCAGTCAGTCTCTGGATAGAGTTTAATGTTAAAAAAGAAACTGGTTCGGTTACTTGATTCTACTGTTTTTTGGGGTATTCTGCCTGTAGCTGAAATGCAGTTTAAAACATTTCATCAAAAGGCAACAGATAGAGATGGAGCGATCCATTCATTGTGCAAGGCAGCTCAGGAAGTACCCCATAGAGGGGATCCTTGCAAGTATGGAGCTTTAGCTAGAAAAGTACCAGTATATAATTGTACTTAGAGGCAGCTAAGGGAGAAAATTTTCTTGCAACCAGAAAAATTAAGATATCAAGGCCGAAAGATGTCATAAGAGACAAATGTAGGGAGATGTTCAATTAGGAAATGGAAATCAGGTTTCAAATCCTATAAAAATACTGGGAGTTGGGAAAATAGGCATATTCAGGTACACCAATCATTCTAATTTGGCTTAAGTAAGAACCAAATGAAGGCAGAGTCTAGGAATTAGGGATAAAATATACAGAGACAGTGTGACCTAAGGAATAGGTACAGTTTGAATCCCAGTTTTGTTCCTTAGCTGTGTAATCACAGGTAAAATATTTAACCTCTCTGGCCTCATGTGTAGGTCAATAATAATGTCCATTGCACTGTTACAAAATACTCTATGACATCTGGTGTCTTGTTGGTGCTTGAGATGCTTTTTTAAGTTATATGGAAAAATGTTTAAGTGCTTTTCAGTTTTGTTTTGGTTGAGTTCTACTGTATTTGAATATTATTGTAGTTTTTTTTCCCTTGCATTGTTCTTCTTTGAATGGTTTTAATTTTTGTATGTGTGTGTGTTTGATAATAAAGTTATTTTTTTAAAAGTACTCTGTGACTAACTATGAATTAAGAACTATGTTAGGTGATGATATACAAGGAATTGTTCATCTGTTACCAAATACCACCTTCTGTTTACTTAGTTAAGCCCTGAGTGAGGACCTGGCAATGCAGTGGTGAAGGGAAAAACAGCAAAAGTGAATGAGACCACTTAAAACATGTAGGTATAGATGAGAGGAAGACTCAAGTACATAAGTACTTAACTTGTAGAAATGAGATGGAGGAGGAAGAAGACCATCATGAAGTACAAGAACCTTGGGAGTGTTTGAAATAGAGAGAGTGGCCAACTATGCCAGCTGAGAAATTGAATGAGATGGATAGAGAAATGTGTGTATGTGTCAGCTTTCCTGTTGCTGGACATGATAACCTGACACAACTTAGAAGAGAAGTTTAATTTAGCTCCTATTTTTGAGGACTTCAATTCACAGCTGGCCCCAAGATAGGAACAGCAGAAAGGCTTGGCTGAACAAAGCTGCTTAGTTCATGGAGACCTGGAAGCAGAGGAGGGTAACAGTACCAGAGAGGAATGGGCAAGGGGCCATATACAGTACCTGAGGACATGCCTGGGAGTGCGCTCTACTAACTCTACTAACGTGCGAAAGAGTTCCTTAACCCAATGAAGAGGTAACATATCGAGATTAATAGTCACAATGTATTTAGCAATTTGGGAGTACAATAGCTAGCTATGTCCACTGTTAAAGCTGTTTCAAAAGAATGTTGGTTTCGGAAACTAAGTTGTATTAAGGGTGAAATGGGAGACTAGAAATTACAGCAAGAGTGAAAACAACTCTGACAAGTTTTACTGCAAAAAGTAACAGAGAAAGGGGGTCACTGGAGAGGTGTTTTTAAAATGAGAGACAGTGGAAAAGACCCATGAATTGGAGATTTCAATAAGACTGATGACTGGCTGTGTTCAGAGCCCTAGAGGTAGTGAGCTAGAAGGACAGAAAATGATTGCCAGAGAATAACTTGCTTGAAACCAAGATTTCAAAGGCCATATTACAGTTCCAAATGGCAAGGTAGAGAGTGAAGTGAAGTGGGCTGAGGGAGGAGGTCACTAAGACTTGCACAAGGGATCAGGGAGCTCAAGTACAGACTGTCCCAGCTTTGCACGGTTGCACATGACTGAGAACTGAAATCATGCAAAACAATAATAATGAAAGAAAAAAATGTAATTGTTCTGTGATATTAAAGAACTTTTTCCAAAACATTTAAAAAACCATACTGCTAACTTTAAATTTTAAAATAAATGTATTTAAACCATTTTAAAACTAATGTTTATTTAGCACACTGCAAAGCATAAGAAATGTGGAGGATCAGTGCTTTATTCTTTTTTTAAACAACTTACCAATAATAATTTAAAGTATGCTTGTCTTCTTCCTGACCTGGTTTTTTTCTTCTGTCTTGATAAATTCTCATACTCTTAAATTTCAATTCACTGCTAGCAATTTTCTTTCTCATTTCAATGTTTTGAAATATCTCCAAGAATTTCTTTAACGTGAAGTTTCTTATCAACATCACTGTCTGTGATCGCCATCTTTTCGTCACAGCCATTTTAACTAATCCGTGGAATCTGGGGGCTGATTTCACAGCAGCACCCCAAATTGCAGTAAGGTCTTCACTAGAGAACCCATTCATGTTGACTTCTGAAATGAGGAGCCAGACTGTGCCAGCAGTAAAGGTTTCAGCTTTTTGTACTTACTGGCTTCTTTCAACATGGCCAGTAACTTCAACACCTTGACCTGAGTACTAGTCAATCTGATTGAGACTTTTTATTTATTACAGCCTTAAGTCCAAAGTAGGGGAAAGTCTGTATCTCAGCCATAATCAGCTTTCCATTCATAGAGCAATTTAAATTAAAAGATGTTGAAGCAACCTTACCTTCTTTGTTCTACTTACTGGACTTTTTCTCTCTGGCTCCCATGGTTCTATACCTTTCCTGTAGGCCTAGGTCTCATCCTATCTGCTTTGCTGGCATCACTTTTAAATTTGCTAATTACATCAATTTCACTTCTAGCATTATTTGTATCTATTTGTACTTTCATGTTTCTTATCCAATTTTTTTTTTTGGTCCTAGGAATTGAACCCAGGGCCTTTGCACTGAGTGAAATCCCCAGGCACATTTTTATTTTGGGAAAGGAATTATAGGTACAGTGGACCCTTGTCTTACAAATTCAATTTGTTTGTAAGGGCTGGTTGTAAGTCAAGTTGGTTGTAAGTCAAGACTTTTTCCCATAAGAAATCATAGAAATATCCATAATGCATCCTGAACCTCTCAATGCACCCATTAACTAACCTTTTCATAATAAGAAAGAGTTGTATAATGTGCATAATTTACCAGAAACACCAATAATTTTCCTAATGTATTCACCAAAAAGTTATAAAATGTTCCTGGTTTACCAGAAACAATAATTGCATAGTGTACTCACCATTCAAGTTGACATCTTTGGCTTGCAGGAAGGGAGGATGAAATGGAAGGAGGTTATTGTTTGGAAGGAGAGTCCCCTTCCATAAAAACATCAGGAATCTGGCTCTCTGGTGTGATTTCTCTCTTTGGAGAGTTTGTAGCCCACTAGGACCTGCTTCTAGCTCATGAGGTCTCAACCTTTTCAGAACTAAAAATTGGTCTAAGGTAGTCTATTTCTGTCTTTCGCTTAACATTGTTCTGTAGTATGACATGACGTTGTCATTAAGCAAGTGAATGCAACAATTGGCTTTTTCTCTTATCTGGGTGGGTCTTTTCTATAAACGTTTGTATCTCTGTCCATTTTTTCAGGATTTTCTTTATTTCAGAAAAACTTTGCTGCACTGATTGTTGATACCCCTCTCCTCTTCAGAAAGCTCCTCAGTTGCCATTCTCTATTGCTCAGCCAGAAGT